GGGGGGGGGGGGGGGGGGGGGGTAATAATAAAATAGCAGGAGAGGTACAAAAAGTGCAGCTCTCAGAATGGATGAAGCAGGGAGATCCTTGCACTGCATTTCTTCTGGCACAAGGAGAACAGTGGTGACCAATACAATGGTGCAATCCCCAAATCCCACTCCAAACACGGTGAGACTATCGGTCAGAGGCAGCCGTGCCTTGGATGATCTCACACTGCAGATATATAGCTATGAGGCTCAAGAGGCAGGAGAATTGAAGATAAATGATAGGTTTTGTGGGTACTGCTGAGGCACAATTAACATTTCTAGATGTTACCTATAGGATGGCAAATCTTCACTTTTGGGGTTCAGGTTCACTTTAAAACACAGTGGATCATTTTATTATATGCAGTGAACACCAATCAACTGTATAGATAAGTCCTTGCTTCTTCCTTTCATTTCTCTGTGCTGTGATAGTTCTCATTACAGGTCCAGGCCAGTGTAAACATTGCTTTATTCATATTGAGCATGTCTGTGGTGAGCCACTGATCTGTGATCCCGTTTTTTTCTGTTTTTGTTTTGCGCAAACAAATGCTTTCACTTCAACTCTACCTTTTCTGTTAGTCTGAGGCCAAAAGTGACAGCCGGAACGTAATTGTTGTTGGTATGAATTTCAGTATGTTTGGATAGGTAGAGATATGTTCTAAAAGTTATTCCGCCGTTATTATTTTTACCTTTTTTTATTTGCTTTGCACGTGTATTTAGGTTCCTGTTTCTTTTTCAGTACCTGTGTGAGAACGGGAGAGTGGACGACATATTTTCAGATCCCTACTACCTTAAATTTACAGAATTTCTCCACCAAGTTATCAAGACATTTCAGCCTCGAGTCACTCCACTCGGTAAGAATGGCTCAAGGTATCACTCATATACTGTTTTATGTTTCACATCCCAGCTTGCCATGTTGTGTATTTAATTACTTTTTTCTATAGTTGCAGCAAATTATGCAGAGCTTGATAAAGTGCACTCACTGCCGCAAAGGAGTTTACAAATTTAGGTCTGACACACACTTTGGGGTAATTTGGCACAAACTCCACACCAATGGTAACCTAGTAGTAACCACCCTCAGGACCCCCTACCAGTAGACCACATCACTCATCACCTAGTCGCTCTACTGTTCTATATATACAGGTATTCCTATATATACAGGTATTCCTCACTTAACGACCGAGTTCCATTCCTATGACCAGGTCGTTAAACGAATTGGTCGTTAAGTGAGGAACTCTATACAGTACTGTACAGCGTTGCAGATTTCCAGTACCGAACAGTGTACTGTACATCGGGCAATGAAAATACCGGGACCCGCAGTGAAGATCGGAGGACATCACTTCCGCTTGCGACACGTCCCACTGACGCGCAAGGTCGGAGGTCGATCGGCGGTCCGTCTTAAGTGCGAGTGGTCGCAAAGCAGGCAAGTTGGTAACAGAGGAATGTCAGTATTCTTAAATCCTTTTAAGAATAACTGCATAGGGCTGCAACAACTAGTCGATTAAATCGATAATAATCAATTATAAGGCTAGTTGGCAACTATTCTCATGAGAGATTTTTTTGTCATGCAACCAACCGATTCGTTGAAAAAATAATTGGGCAAATAATTGATTTATGAAAATAATCGTTAGCTGCAGCCCTATAACTGCACTTATTTTGTATGAAGCCCCCTGACGGTCTTGTAGGTATCTGTGCTGCTAATTTAGCTGGATCTCCCAAACTGCTGCATTCAGTCCTGTGAAGAGTCTGTACACCACCAGAGCACAGAGCCCATACTCTCCATCGGATTGAATAGAGAGCACACAGCGCATGTGCCAGTCTGGTGTAGATTTCGACAAGGTGCTTTGTGTCTTCTCTGGTGGTATCTTGCTGGATTGAGGGCAGGTGAGTAAAAGACTGGCTGGAGGCATGACACAATACAATGTAAAGGTGCCCATACACCTTACGATTATCGTACGAAACTTTTCGTCCGATGATCGAACCGTCGTACGATTTTCGTACGACGCCCCCATCCTGCCCCAATTATCGCAAGGTTCAATTAGCGGTAGTTAAAAAAAACACCTGGACGACTTGTGGTAATTGACCGCAATTATTTTCGTTTGCGCATGCGCAGTGTTAATCGTACAACTTTTGACGGACGGAAACGCCACCAACCATGCGAACATTGTACGATCGGCCAAAGTTTTCAAACATGCTTGACCGTCAAAAGTCGTACGATTGTACAGTACTATCGGTCGGGCACTCTATTCACACGTTACGATTGTCGTACGAAAAGTCGATCGCATACGATTATCGTACGATAATCGTAAGGTGTATGGGCACCTTAAGTGTAACTGCACCTTATGCACCTTTGTCGGCCCTAAAGGTTAAATTTAGTGGTAACACTCTGAATAACATTTTACACTATTGTCTGTTTTTGCATAATGTTGTTTTTCTGTGCTCCTACCCTGTTTCCCCGAAAATAAGACCTACCCCGAAAGTAAGACCTAGTACTTTTTTTTCAAGATTCCTGTAATATAAGACCTACCCCGAAAATAAGACCTAGTTTGGTGGTAGCATGTGAGGGGGAACTTGCAGGAGAGATGGTATCAGCCTGCAGGGACATACTGTATTAAGGGGATGACAGGGGACTCCCTCCAGACTTCACCAACTGCTGTTCCCCTGAAGGCACTGCTTAATGTAATGGTACCGTACTGTAATGTGTACTGGTAAATGGTGCCGTACTTTACCACGCTGTCCACTGTCTGATGTCCCCACTGCTGCACCGCTGGTACCTCTGTCCCTGGTGGCAAAGGAAGCCGGCGCTGTAGAAAGCAAGGCTGCGGCAACGGAGGGAGCAAAACCGCATTAGCCGATATTCCTCTATAGCGCCGGTTACTGTGACAGGCGGAGGGATACCAAATAACTTTGGATTGTTGTACATTTTGTTGAACATTAAAAAAAACATAAGACATCACCTTAAAATAAGACCTAGTTTGGTGGTAGCATGTGAGGGGGAACTTGCAGGAGAGATGGTATCAGCCTGCAGGGACATACTGTATTAAGGGGATGACAGGGGACTCCCTCCAGACTTCACCAACTGCTGTTCCCCTGAAGGCACTGCTTAATGTAATGGTACCGTACTGTAATGTGTGCCGGTAAATGGTGCCGTACTTTACCACGCTGTCCACTGTCTGATGTCCCCACTGCTGCACCGCTGGTACCTCTGTCCCTGGTGGCAAAGGAAGCCGGCGCTGTAGAAAGCAAGGCTGCGGCAACGGAGGGAGCAAAACCGCATTAGCCGATATTCCTCTATAGCGCCGGTTACTGTGACAGGCGGAGTGATACCAAATAACTTTGGATTGTTGTACATTTTGTTGCACATTAAAAAAAAAATAAGACATCCCCTGAAAATAAGACCTAGTGTGTTTTTTGGGGGCAAAAAAAATATAAGACAGTGTCTTATTTTCGGGGAAACACGGTATATCCAGCTGCCTCTTGCTTGGGTTAGAACCATACAGAATGCATACGTTGTTATAGAACAATAAGCCACAGTGGTTAGAGAGGTTTAAAAACACAGCTGTATCTTTGCAGGTTATGTAATCCCCAGCCATGTGACAGAAGAAATGCTGTGGGAGTGCAAGCAGCTGGGTGCCCACTCTCCTGCCACCTTGCTGACTACACTCATGTTCTTCAACACAAAGTAAGTGCTGATCACTGGATAAATACCACTTTCTCCGCACACAGTGTTGGCAGGCTTTTCAGAAATAAGCCCGCATATATTTTTTGCAATGATCGAAACCAATGTATTCATTAGAGATCGGTTGAGTTCTGTCGTCTAGCAGACAGGGCTGGTGATGTTTTTTGGGATTTCAGTGCAACAAATACTTAGTGTTGTCAATTTAGGAGCATATTGGATTTTGTACCTACATGGCCAATGGCTTTTTCATTTGACAGTGGCCAAATCCTGTTGTAGGCACAATCACTGAGATTCTTTCACTTGTATGACCAGGCCAGTTTTTTGTGAGTGGGAGAAAAAAAAAAAAGTCAAAGCATTAAAGTGACACTGAACTCAGAAATTAAATCTTAAAAATGTATTCAAGTAACTTTTAACTATGAACAGAAATTGCTCTTATTTGTGTATCACTCGACTGTAGATCCTCCAATCATCTCTGAATTGGTGCAGACACTGTCCTTCCTTCTGGAGGGGCGGCTACTTGTGTTCTCCATGGTCCCTGTGTGTGTGTGTGTTGTAAAGTAATGAAATAAAGTCACCAGCACACCAAATAATAATTTAGCAATAGTCCATTTAATGACACATTGCCATTCTATGCATTGGATGGCAATGTGTCATTAAATGGACTATTGCTAAATTATTATTTGGTGTGCTGGTGACTTTATTTCGTCATTTGAGTTACAGTGCAACCCGTGGTCACTACAAGCACCCACCCATTTGCACGGGTCTTTGGATGTTCCGGTAAGGAGTGCAGCAAGACCTCTGGTTCCTACTTGTTTTGTAAAGTAGTCACCACTCCAAGCTCACTCCCGTGATGGACTACAATCCCAATACAAATTAGTAAACTAAACGCGAGATTGTAGTCCATCACAGGAGCGAGCTTGGAGCGGTGACTACTTTACTACACACACAGGGACCATGGGGAACAAAAGTAGCCCCCCTCCAGAAGGAAGGACAGTGTCGGCACCAATTCAGAGATGATTGGAGGATCTACAGCCGAGTGACACACAAATAAGAGACATTGTTGTTAATCGTTAAGGTACCTGAATGTATTTTTAAGATTTTAACTCCGGAGTTCAGTGTCACTTTAATTTGTGTCTTATTTCTGCCTGAAGTTCAGCTTTCATTGTGTGTTGCTTCAGGCTGTCAGCCAGGTTACATTTTTGTTTAAGGCCTCATTCACACTGCCGCGCATATATGCGCGTACGTGCGTATTGTATCATATGCAACATATGCAAATAAATGGCTCCATACACACAGCCGCGTATGGAGCCGTATATTTGCGTAGTGTATATATGCGCAAAAACAGAATGGAACAGAGATGGGTCCGGGCAGCGTATTTCTGCGTATAAACGCGTATATACATGCGTACAGTACATTAAAAATTCCATTACGAGTGATGCATTCTGGGATTGCATATAGTGCACGCATATACCCTCGTATAGGCGCGTATATACACAATATACAATTTTGTGTATATACTGTTTTGTGTGTGAATGAGGCTTAACAGTCTGTTTTTATGTATTCCTTCCCATCCAGGTACTTTTTGTTGAAAACCGTTGATCAGCACATGAGATTGGCTTTCTCCAAAGTTCTAAGACAGACGAAAAAGAATCCTTCCAACCCGAAAGATAAGAGTACGAGCATCCGATACCTGAAGGCCCTCGGATTTCACCAGGCGGGGCAACAGAAAGGTATGATCCCTGGAAAATTGGGAGCCTCTTTTTCACGTAAACAGACGTTCACCATCATGTTCTGTTTTATGTATCCGTCTCTCTTTTCCAGGTTTTCCAATAACAGACGACATGTATGCAGAGCAAACTGAGAACCCGGAAAATCCCTTGAGATGCCCCATTAAACTTTACGATTTCTACCTCTTCAAATGGTATGTAAAAAAAAAAAAAAATCAATCACTTTTCACCACGTGACATAACGGCAGTGTAAAATCTACTAAACCTATAGGAGATTTCTGACAGGGGTACATTAGTCCACGAGTGAAACGCGTTGCCTCTAATGAAGTGTATGTTTAGTCCGGAACGCTGATGCTTACTGTACTAATCAGTTTCATTCACCACTTCCTGGACCTCCAGAACAATGCTCGGCTCCGAGAGCAACAAGAAATTGGGTTCTATTGATAGTGAAGAGCAGATATCGTTCTTTGCAGGACACTGAAGTTCCATGGTGTTCTTTCTTAGATGCTGCAGAGGACACTTGGCAATTGGTGGAGAGGCTGGTCACATGACCCCAACCCCCCATTAAATGCTTTCTGAATGGGCGCCTTCGTGTCCATATCATGGTTTGCAAAACAGGCAAAATCCAGTTAGCACTCAAAACAGATTTGTGTTTTTTGGTTGTTTTCGTGTGTGTTCTCTTAGAAATATTTTAATGACGTGCACATCTTTTTAAATTTTTTGTTATGTCTGGTCTACATCCGTTTTTCTTGCCGAGATAAAAAAAATTGTGTCCCATTGTTATTCATTCAGCGCCCCCTTCTGGATAGGTTGCATATTGTCGTCATCCTGCTTCCAAAGCTTTTGAAAAGTTCTGGGCAAATTTGTATATTTTTGAATGGGCCGACCATGTCACTTTTCCAGAGCGGCGCCATAAATATTCTGCTTACTGCAGCTTTGGAATAAGGCTCGATGTTTGGTAGTTGTCAGGGACTTTGCTTGCTCTTCAGTGTCTGTCATGAGAAATAGTTTGCACTCTCCACTATGTCTAATTGGAAGTGGAAGTAAGCCAAACCTTATGTCTGTGTAGCCTAATGGGGATGCGGCCATCGTGCAGACCTGACAGAGGTTCCAACACTTTCCCATGTTATGCAAAATGTGAATTAAAAGCTGGATTTCCACTTTAAAGGCTGAATTCCGGCCTTCCCTCTCAGTCTTGTACCGGCTCCTCTCCTGGACTGAAATGGCTTCCTCTGATTTCACTGCACACTGTCAGCGTCCCACCATGTGCATTAGAAACTGCAGCAATTCGGATACAACCCAACTCATTTCCTGGCTGGAGGATGTCAAGCATTATCTAGGTCAGGGATGTCCAAACTCCGGCCCTCCAGCTGTGGTGAAACTAAAAATCCCATGATACATCTCTCCAGGAGTCATGTCTGTGAGAATCTTGCAATGCCCCATGGGATTTGTAGTTCCACCACAGCTGGAGGGCCGGAGTTTGGACATCCCTGATCTAGGTCTTTCCTCCCCTGGCCCCCAGCTTTCGTTCATGGGATCTCAGTTCTTGCTATCTGGTGGCTCGGCATCACACGTGGGCATTACCTAGGGTGGGTTACATGCAAATACAGCCTGCCTAGGAATGCCCACCCCTCCAGACTGCCATCCACCCGTCAAAGCATTTAGATATTTGCATAACTCCTCCCAAAACCCAGCTCACTGCTTGCATCAGGGCTGAAGGGAGGACCAAGGCAGAGTGCAGTGATGTTTTCAGGAAGCTATGTATGAAGCATGCTGGCCCCTCCCACTTGCCATGATCTGCCTGCATTGTATAGAGAAGCATGCAGACCTAGTGATGTCATCATATAACGTATTTAACGAAAACGGCTAGGTTTGGAAATGTCATAAACATGTTGATAAGGTGGAACCAGGGAAGGCAAAATATAATAGGCAGATTATACTTTGGTGGGTAGGTACCTCATATCCATTCTGAATTCTTGAGGAGTGTCAGGATTAGGCTTATATATCGGATCCTTTATGGTCCATAACATGATGAGAATGTCCCATAACAAAGCGTGCATTTCTGACAGGCCTGTTTCTTTTCTTTTTTTTCCCCATCCAGCCCGCAGAGCGTGAAAGGTCGAAATGACACTTTTTACCTGACGCCAGAGCCCGTGGTCGCCCCGAACAGTCCGATCTGGTACTCCACCCAGCCAATCAGCAGAGAGCAGATGGAGCAGATGCTGACTCGAATACTGATTGTCCGAGAAATTCAGGAAGCCATTGCGGTCGCCAACAGCAACAACATGCACTAAAAATAAAAACCGATTCCAATAGTGGAGGGAATGTGACATTACAAAATAAACGTGTACAGACTTTTACACTAAGAGAAGATGCCTACATTTTTTTTTATTATTATAATTATTGGTGTAGTTATGGAGCCCTTTTAGGCTTCTTCTGTTAAAAAGAAAATAAAGTATAAAGAAAAAACATACAAATGTGCATCTTAAGAAAACTACTATAAAGGTTTATTGTGGGTTGAGAAGAATCTGGAGGGAAAGAGCCTTTTATATGGGCTTA